CAAAACAAGGGTGGACTTATGATTCACATTCAGATGCACATTTGGCCTCTGAATTTGAATCACACTACTGGGAAAGCTGTGCATGATACATAAAAATGAACCAGGCAAAAATTAAAAGTTGATAGCTTTTCTGATCTTCTGAGCATTTCTTCATGCTTTTGAAATGAAAATGAAGTACAGTGGCCAATCTATATGCCAGCATCATCAAAGGTTCTTTGGAGTCAGAAGCTGTATATTTTGGTAATGTGTTATGTACATAAATCCAAGCACAACTGTGTGAACCTTTAAGAGTGCATGGCCTCTGCACACACAATTTGGAAATTTAAAGCTTACATATACTGCACAAAAAAGAGCAACTAGCTAATTTCATGGCAATTCTCCATCCATCCATTATCTATACCGCTTATTCCTGACAGGACACCAGTCTATCACAGGGCTGACATGTAGACAAACAAACACACACACTCACACTCACTCCTATGAACAATTTAGAGTCACCGATCACAACCTAAGCTGCATGTCTTGGGTCTGGAGGATGCTGGAGTACCTGGAGAGAACCCACACAGGCACAGGTAGAACATGCATACTCCACACAGAAAGGCCCCGAGTTGGCCCAGGCTCGAACGCGGAACCCTCTTGCTGTGAGGCGACAGCACTAACCACCACACCGCTATGCCACCTCATGGCAACTCTGGCACAGATATTCAAGAGTGAAAGTGAAGCCATGCAGCAAAGCTTCACTATCCTCATGTTTGTTAGCTAGTGAATGATTAGTTTGTCTCAGAGAAACTAACCAGTTAATCATCAAGTTGCTTCACAAAGTCCAGAGACACTTCCACACATCAGAAAGAAACTACTCACATACCATTCACAAATAAATGAACAAATGCCCAGTTACTTAAATCACTTATTTACATCCCAAGTTGTAGCAAAATCTTCATTGTGTCCTTCAGGACAATTGACTCTCTATTGGACAAGCACTGTTGGCCCTGATCCAGAATTTTCTTTTGATCAGCTTCTGTGACTATTGTCACCATTCCATGCATACCATTACAGCAAGGGTTATTGGAGTTTAAAAAAAACAGAGCATAATCCCTGCCAATATGGCAAGAACATGGAGCTCAATAACCGCAGCAGACAGGTTGAGGTGCATCTGTCTGCCCCATGCACCCCGTCCATTCTCCTACTTTGCCTCAATTGAATAAGAATAGAAGAGGAAGCTCAGAGTACTTGGTGTCTGTGTGTAGGAATGGAGGTTCATAATCTCCCTTAATGAGCTTGTTTCTGGGCTATTATCTGGCGGCCTGCCTGAGGGAAATGCTGCTGTTTCCTATCAAGTGGCCCTGCAGTGCTGACCCTTGCATGGCTCAGCATATGAAATGTAAGGGCCAAGCCTTTTGTCTCCTTTCTCCCAGCCTCTAACTGAGCCCCTTTTCCATTTGCATAATCATGAATGGACCAGCCAATGTTATTAATTAATACAGACCCAGCCTGCGCCACCTGACAAAATCCCACCGAGTGGCCCGAACGGAACTGTTTCATCAAAGGAGAGGAGCCATTAGGAAGGAGAGGCCTTATTCTCCACTTCTCTTCTTCTCTCTTGTTCCTTTGAAAACAGAAAGCTGTGGTTTTATGCGTGTGTTTTTTTTTTCAGTATAGGGGCAGTGGTGGTGGGAGTAGTGTTGGGTGCTGAGTTCAATAAGACTGTATGAAATAGGAAGGCCAAAGGTGACCTGCTGTCAACTGCCTTGCAAATGTAAATGCTCCTGAGAGATCTTCTTCTTGCTGTGACTTTACCTTCTCAGCTCTGCTCAGAGGATGTCTCAAGGAGGATTCTCACCGGATAACCTGAAGATTTACGGCTGGGAACGTTCCATGAATGGGGTTTCAAATTCCCAGAGACCTTCAGATGCACCAAATTGTTGACTCACTGGCCCTATCCCTTTCTCTATCTTGCCTCCCCCCTTGCCTGCATACAAGTCTGAGGAGAGCATACACAGATAAATGGTCTGTTGCTAATCCACAGCTATCTCCAGCAAGTCCTCTCCTAAAACTCAACGTCAGGAGGACAACTCCAGGAGGCTCGTAAATTTATTTCCACTGCCTCATTGAAGCAATTAAGGACAAAGTGCATGCTGAGTCTTTCACAATGTTGCTCTTGGGAGAGGTCCGATCACTGACATGCTGTCAAGCCACACATTAATCTGTTGGCACAAAATAAGGCCTGAGACAGGGAGAGGAAGGCAGCAGAGAGAGTAGAACAGAGTGAAGATAAGGGATGCAAAAAAAAAGAGATAAGAGCCATTTCTTCTTCTATACTTAGCAAACATGAACTTCTGTTGCAAACTTTTCGCAGCTTATCATATGCAGGAGATTCCATCACTTTATATAGTGAATACTTGTCACCTCCTTTGTAGCTATGCAGCTATCGACACACATCTCTGAGTAATGTCTGCACAAGGAGATGTTTCCCATGAGAGGGTGCAGTGAGCACTGCTGTTTGATGCCTACAGAAAACAAACCTGGTTTTGGGAGAGTCACACCGCCTTGTTATGGGTAAGCTATGTCATTTTCCCCATTAATGTCAAGATACATTCTTAAGGATGTTAAAAACTGGTTGAGGTGCGAGTTTTCTATCACTCCCCTTTCCCTTGTTTGTACAGTAGCTTTGAATGTGCTGGAGGTGATGCAAACAGGAAAAACCTGCCCTCTAAAGAATCTCAGCATGGGAAAGCAACCATGTCCTCCAGGTGTAGAGAAGGGAGGCGTGGGAAGTATGGGGGGGAAGGAGGCACAGGAAAGAGCTATGAAAACATGACATGCTTTCGATTTGGCAGCAGTATTGATTTTGACACCTGAATTTGATTTTGTTTGTCTTTTGATGAAAATACATATTAGTTCTAGTATTTTGATTTTTGTTTGTTTTAGTCTAGATTTAGTCAGCAAAAACTAAATACACTTTAGTTTTCATCATTTTTAAAATCCATTCTTAATATTTAGTGTAGGCTATATCTTCTTCATCCTGGTTGTGTACAGTTACCATGGATACACGTGTTGTTCGCCTCTATCCTCACATTTGTGGAAAATGGTGTTTTATTCACGGTGTCCCTCTGCTCTGCAGAAGCTGGACTCACATTTGTGCTAAAAATCCTCTGTTTTGGCAGGTGGAGGAAGCTGTTTTACTGATCAGCATCTATAGTTTGTGCGTCCATAGATGTGGCGGGTTGTTAAGTTACTTCATGTCCATTCGTCCATGTCACATTATTGTTTACTTTCCATTCATTGTCAAAAAAATGTAAAATATTTCATCATAGTTCTTGTTACAGTATCATATATTTTTGTTATCAAACTGAACTCTGGCTCTCCCGCTTGCATCTTTTCCGTCTGGACCTTGCTGTCTCTTCAGATCAGGTTAAGGGCTCCCCGTCCCTCCCGTGACTTGCTTGGATGTTTGATCTTGAGGCAACAATTCACCTCAAGAGCAGAAAGACAATGGCCTGCCTGCCTCCACCCCTGTCCATTCCTCTTCTCAACGCTGTGCGACATGGGAATGCCCCTTAACCATGTGAAATCTGCTTTGAAGTGTTACTGGATGCTCTGGAAGCCACTGATATGCCTCTAAAACATGACCACATACCAGCCTGAGAGAAGACAGATGATGGATGCTTACGAGTCTAACACTGAAATGTTTTCCATGACACCTGCTTTTCTTAGGCAGAATATTTTCCCACTGTTGGTAATGCATCTCACAAAAGTTACAGCGGGCTGTGACTGGCCCACGGCACACCTCTGAACAGAGTTGTTGCCGCATGTTATTGAATGAAGAGTGCTTTGATATGGCGCTGAGAGAAGAATGTGCAGATAAAGATTTAGCAACATGAGAAAGTATGTTGTCGCTTGGTTTGAATTGTCAGCTTATCCATGACCAGTGTCACTTGCAACATGACAAAGAACAAAAAAACAAAGACAGGATATCTACATAGCAGTCTTGACTGTCATATTTTGCATCATTTTCCCCAATTAAACACCAAAATTTATTAGGACAAACTTAATAATACAGGATGTGAAATGTGTGTGACAGCTCGTGCTCTGTCTTACCTGTGGCACAGAGGGCGATGAACGTCTGGACGTGTTTGCGTATTAGTGCCAGCTTATCCTCGGGCAGCGGCAGCCTCCTCACAATGTGCTCGATGAAGTCGTTTGGTGTCACTGCTGCCAAGTTCCACTTCAACTTCCCCAACACCACCAGTTCCCATTCCTGGAAAGAGAGTCGAGAGAGAGAGCTGAGAGTGAATAAACGAAAATGAGAAGGACTGAGAATGTTTAAGTGACACAAAGTATGACCACATATTTACACATTGAAACGGTTTACACTCAGCTACAAAACTGTTACTTTACTGCAGCTGTTCAGCCAGCACTGCAGCCTAAAGTGTGTCAATGTGACTCTGTGGGCCCCTGGCCCTGTACACTGGTGAGTGTATGAAGGTTAAGCATTATTGTTATTACGTTAGTCCCTGCTTGGCTGGGCCTGGGATACAGAAACACCAGCAGGGCCACCAACCCAGGTGACCTCACAGCACTGTCTCCCTCCCCGTCTGTCTGTCTGGCATCTGGGGACTTTCCTAAAGAGGCCCACCAGAGGTTCTACTGTATGTGTGTGTGTGTGTGTGTGTGTGTGTGTGTGTGTGTGTGTGTTTGACTAGAATTGTTGAGCAGGAACAAAAATAAATCAGTGTTATGTTTAAAAGCTGAACTGTATTTCATCTTATCTCAGTCTATCAGTCATTTAAACTCTCAAAACCCTGCGTTACAGCAGATAAGCTGATGGTTTTCTTTATTGCATCTTGTGTTTTGCTGTCAATTCTGTTAATGCCCTTTGGTATTAATCTGTGGATTCAGCCTGCAAGCCTATGTTTTGCTTTAATAAACAATGTCAAGTATAGTATAACATCAGATTCACCTGAATTAATTGCACTCAACTTTACAAATAATTTTAAAGTGGATCTTGGAAAAATATGATGACACATACGAGCCTGTGTTAAAGGGCGTGAGGGCAGACACTAGGTGTGGTGTTATCTTCTCTCAGGGTGTATTGTTAGTTTCACTTCCTAGAGGAGGAGGAGACTAATTATTTGATCACATGCAAATCGTAATAGCTGGTTGATAATGCAACATGGCCGCCTCCTGCTCTCAAAAGCCAGCGCTAGTGAGCAAGATTCTGTGACAAACCTTGCAACACAGGCTCTGGGCTGACAGGGCGGCAGGCACCCACTTCCTTCTGCTACTGCCTTCCTCTAGTCACACGTTCTTTGCAACATTGCGTTGTGGTTCTCTTTACAAGAAATTGTTACCAAAGACAAGGACAAAAAAAAAAAAAAAAACCCGATCACATGTACTGAGCAGCTGATCTCTGTTTCCTGTATTTGCATGTCAGCCAAAACACTGCCTTATACAGAAACAGTTAGAAGAGGCCTCAACAAACCAGATCAAGGACTGAGAGCTTTGTCTTCATACTGAACATAAAGGTGGGACAGACTCTATTTTTTTTTACAAAGTGCTGCACCATTTCTAAAACCCACTGAAACCTTCACTGAAGCGAGGGGACATGAACCTTGATGCAATATTCTCAGGCAGAAATACATTCCAGAAAATGATCAGAAGCCAACAAAACCAACACCAGCTCATCAGGAACCTGAATATATGGCAGCAGTCAGCTTAGCTGGCAGAGTCGCCACTCAAGCAGTGAGGCAGACCGGCAAGCATCAGCAAAGTTAGAATCATAATATGTGGTCTCTTTCAGAACATGCTTGGGATTGGCTGTTGTTTACTGAGGAATGTTTATATGGCACCACAAAATAGTGGGGGAAATTATTATCTGATGTGAAACTGAGTTAATTAACTGATTTGCACTGGTGAGAGCAGCTAGTATTGGGCCAAAGAGGCCTTATCAAATAAACAGGACACAGAGCAGTGACATTAAATGACAGAACCTACCCTACATAATCTGTTTTGACTGTAAGCTACATTTCTGCATTGAAACATGTGGTATGTGTGTTTCAGAAATAGCACAGCATGACTTAATAGCATAAATGCGTGCATCCATGGTTATATTGGGTGGAAACTAAACTGTAAAAGGCAAACTTGAATTTCTCTGTGTCTCTCCCTCTCTAGCTGTCAGGAACAGAGTCAGAACTTTGGCTGGAGTTCAAGATGACCTCGTTGCTCTATGCAAATATCTGCCACTAGATGGTGGTGGAGACCATGACACACACACAGGATGGATACTGCCATGCCCAGGGAACCTTGTACAGTAAAGAGAGCCCTTGTGAAACAATTCACTTTGGGGGATTTTATTTTTCATAGACCTTTGATGATTGTGCATTCCACAAAGGAGACTGGAAAACCTATCCAGTAAAATGAGAACAACCTCGCTGCTTATTATGTGATTTTTTTTTAGCTGAAGAGCTAAAATGTACGTAAGTTAAATACCTTAAAACAAAAGCAACAAATTCATGCGTTCCAAAAGCAAACATGATAAGTGTCAGCAGTAAGACATGAAGCTATGTTTGTCTTTAACCAGCTGATGATGACAACATGAATCACCAGAGGTGTCATTGTGAATTCTGTGAAATATGTCGAGCCAAACGTTGCTTACCAGCAGCTCTTGAGGTCTGATGGAGTTATCTGTGTAGATGCAAAGCTTCTCTGCTGTTAATGGACGAGTCTCTTTCAATTTGGATGCAAGAAACATGCAGACTGCTCCCAGCAGCTGCAGGTTACACTTTTTGGTGGGTACCATGGCTAAAAATCTGTCTAAGTAGTTCATGGCCAAGGGAAAAACCTCTTCCTCGCACTTCTGCTCCTCACAAACCTGAATGAAGAGACAGCAGACAATGCAGCAGTGTTCAGCATTTGGAATCAATAACCTTGGCTGCAGTGGCTCGACTTCTTATCCAGCACTTGAAATGTATGGAAATCTTTTATGACATAACGAAACAAAAATCTAATCACAGCAAGATCACAGAAAAAAATTCAATGACACGCATTGTTGGGGCCTGGCCAAGAATCTGCGCCCAGCCCTATCATAAATTAAATCTAAATATATTATTTCACAAAATATGAAATAAGCCTCAGACACATACTGTCAAAAGAGTCACATTCCTGCAGTTCATTGACTAAGAAATGAATTCAAGTCACAATGAGCCGAGCCAAAAACCACCCCGACAACTCAGCACACGGAAACACACTTTTTTTCATTCGTCATATTTTCATAAAATAATTAAAAATATAAATAAATTATCTACGCCACATTTTTACACATCATAATGGTCACGGGGGCCTTCTCTATCATATCCGACAATTCATATCCAAATCCAGACACGATAAATATGAATAAAATGTTAAAATTAAAAACAAGTAGTAGGAGATTTCTCTCGTGTGCGTCACTGCCGACCCGACGTATTTATTTCAAAAATTAATTAAAAATCTCCAGTGGGTCGCACCCTAACAATATTTACATGAAAATAAATCCCAAAGCCTCAAGATTGTTTACCGGTGGTCGTCAACATGAAATGTTTGACGAAATGACAAAAATCGAACATAATTCCAAAGAGAAGCATCGCGATGGGGGAAGACCAAAAAGGATAGATAAGGCCCTCGCCCCTTCCGACAAATAAAATAAATACCTAAATATTCGCAACGCTTTTTGTGATCATTTTTATATTCCGCGGACACCCAAGACCCCCCTCTGCCATTGTCGTTGGGTTTTAACCACTGTTATTGCGTTTATGACACTGTAAAGTCCTCTTTAAAAGCACAAGCGCTCCTGTAAAAACCAACATGGCGATAGAACAGCGAGGAGCAGCGTGCACTAGCGAGTGCATACGTGTGCATGGAAATATTCAGGCTATCTGAAATAATAACAATAAGAATCAACAGGCAGCATTTAAAGACACCATGTGAAGCAGATAACAGAAATTCTCTGGTGTTACAGATATAATAGCTCGCACTTTCAGAAACGCAGTCTTCATGACCGCACTTTAGAAATGGTAAGAAATTAAAAGACTTTCGGTTAACATGAGGGGCTTGCAGTCGGACATGAGACCTATACGTCTTATCTACTGTCCATAATTTGCGAAGAGGGCTCAAAAAAGCTGCAATGAAACAAATCAGGAGGCTTTAAAGTCGAGCAAGGGAAATAATCAGACTTGTCAGCACTCGATATACCTCCAACATCCAAGTAGCGACCATCCTCCTCATAAAAATCTAACTAAGAAATTACCTAACATCATAAAGGGCTGAATATCTTTCTGGACGCATTTGAAATAGGAATATTGGGGCACAAACCTCTCCTCTATGGTCAACAAGCTCTGCAGGACTCTGTCATCGCACAGTAGGTTCGGATCGGGACGAGCTCGTATGTTGGTGTCCATTTCGAGGCAGAACAGCTCCATGGTGCTGGTGCTTTCACTTAAGTCAAAAGTAGGATTTCTCTCTCCGAAACGTAAAAGCAGTGTTGCAGAGCAGAAATGCAAAAAAGATGACAGGAAACAGTTTTAGAGGCATAAAAATTTGAGAGTGCAGGGGCTCCGTAAGAGTACTCCTACCTCTCCTTGCTGAGAACTTTTCCTCTCTCCCCACAGTGCGCCTCTGCTTTCATCCGCCTGGTTAGATCAGGCGCATTTCAAGCCTGCCCTAGCTGCATCGCCACTGACGCAATTCAAAGTATTACCTCTGTATAGACCAGACGCAACATGCTGCGGTCCTATCCCTGTGTTTTCTATTCTCACATGCAAATCTGCAAACCTGTTTCATTTCTAAATGTAAAAGGATGACACTTTCCCCAAAAGCAGATCAACTCTACAGGGAACGTTGCAGAACATCTAAACTCAAGTTTAGCCACTAGTTTTACACATTTACTGCAAAATCTAGGGTTAGGATAGAGAAGTGATATAGCCTAAATGCTTCGGATGCTGCTGAACAATGTTTCCTGAGAACAGGGTGCTTTCAGGTCATTTAGAAGCTCTGCTGTGTTTTCATATTCCTTTATGCTGGTGCGTGACTGCAATATGGTAGTGCATGCAGAGTGGAGTACATAATGAAAGTTCCACCTAGCCCTGGATACTGGTGCGAAGCCCCAACACCCCGCCGGATGAGCAAGGGTTACATTATAAATAAATGCATTTAATCTTTATTTCATTATAATAACGCATTAAAAGGCTTCAATATAGCAACTTCATTGCCCAAGTGCAACAGGTGTCCCTTTGTGAAAGTACTTTGGATATGAGTTTGGATTAGAAGGAAAGAAACGCTTCATATTGATTTCAAACAAGCTGCTTGAGGTGGACTCAGTGAACCTCCAGGTGAGGATGAGGCGCGTAGATACTGTATATATATGGCCATAAACACGGCATGCTAAATCATAAGGGCGTGTGCGCGCGCACGCGAGACACACACACACGCAGGACAGACCCATCCATCCATTCACACAAACACACAAACACTTATAAACGGTTTTAAATATCCATCTACCTATCAATCTATCTATATATGTATATATACATAGCACGACCTGCTTGTGGTGTAAGAGATAGCTTTCTAGGAAATTCGAAGCCTTTTTTTTTTTTGCACAACCTCATAGAGATAACACAAGGTTGAGAGCCACTGGCTTTTCTCTGCCCAAATGACATCAACCAATTCACAAATGCCTCTTATAAATCACTATTTTTAATTAGATGTGTAATCATTTACATGGAAAAGGGCAGGTGGAAACGAAGCTGGGAGTGTAAGTCATTGAGCAGATAATTAAAAAATGACTGCCAAATAGCCTCACATTCAGCCACAATGAGAATCTGCATGAGTAAATATGTTAATCCTCCTTCTATTCTTAGTCAACTTCAAAGACTCAACCTTGAATGAAATGAGACTTGTGCATCAGGGGAAGACTGGGGACTGTAAAGTCCTCACAGCTTTAGTGCTGTTAATTTCCATCCGAAGTTTCTTGGCTATATAGCAATGCTTATGAGAAAAGTAGGGGAAATGTCTCTTTAAAGTTTTTTTTTTTTCCAGTCAGAGTTGTTTCCTCCTCCTGTGTGTATTTGCATAGCCAATAGTTCCTCAGAGCCCGACCGAGGCTGTGCAATTGTTACTGGGCAGACTTCTATAGCGGGGAGAGAGGGAGAGAGAGAGAGAGAGAGAGGGAGGGAGAGAGAGAGAGAGCAGCTTGTGGTCATTTATCAGCCTTAGCCCTTAAAAGATGTTGAACAACTTATCTGACACGCCTGAATGTTTGAGTGGCATCACAAGGGGCCAAAGTTTACTGGTTTCTTATTCAGTCACAAAAGAAGCTGAGCTTATGTTCACTCATATTTAGCGTTTAAACTTTAAAGGGAAGAGAAGCATTGCGCCTGGATTGACGATTTTCTCATCCACTGCACAATAAATTGTTGCAGTATTTTTATTTGTGTGTGTGTGTGTGTGTGTGCGTTTGTGTGTCAGGCAGAATGAGGGGAAAATTCATTTAACTTCGAATTTAGAAGAAAAAGACCTCCAGATTATTCAAACCTTGATTACAGATGCTTTCCACGGACAAAATTGGGTTCTACATTCTTTTTATGCAAAACGTGCAAAGCTCCTCTCTTGATCATCATATTTGTACTTTGGTGCACAGCCAAGTGAGCTAAGAGGAGAAGGAACTATTTCAATGTCATTAAAACTTGGCACATCAGCCTTTCCGATTAAAGTGCCTCCCAGAGTTTAAAAGAAGCCAATGCGGCTAAATGTGGTGCTGTGGTGGAGCCAGGTGCTCCAACTGCATCAGGTGTTCTCACCTCACCAGGATACGCATTGACGCAATCTTCAGCTTTTAAACACGTGTTGATGTCAGTAATGGTCACTTTGGTTTCTTACAGACTGAGTCATTTAAAGTAAAATAAAAATCTCAGATAGATCTGTTCAACATCATCATCTTACAACGCAAGATGTGCGTGAATGATTAAAATCCTGCTCCACACAGTGGAAAAACGCCCAATTAGTGAAACTTGAATAAAAAAAACTGTACACATTCATTATAAGGTGTTTCTAATCAACTAATCTCTAACTAAGGATGACAATATAAGCAAGAAACTTATCTAAAATCTTCATTTAGCGAGGCACGTCTTATCCCCCATTAAATTACAGACTAATAAATAAAACAACTTGTCAAGACATATTACTGTATTAACAAGCTACTGGGAGGGTTTTTTCTACAGCGGAACAGTGACGCCAGCGACTCCTCTGAGTGAGATCTGAAGCAGCAGCAGTGCATTTTGTCCCCGGAAGCATTCATTTAGCATATCAGAATAAAGTCGGAACATTGGTTACAAATGTTAAAATGTTAGGACTCTATACAATCAAATGTACAGTTAATAAATAGTGACGTCTGAAGAGTTTGGTGAAGTTCCGGCGCTGCACACTGCAAGAAATATCCGTCCTATAGGAGTTTGTATTGAGTTAATAATATGTTGAATATGCTTTTATTTGTTTAAATGAGCCATTGAGCATAGAACAAATTCACCTGTTTACAGTTTATCATATGGTGATATTATCTAGAAACCTCTTGACTTATTTTTATGCATTTTTTAGTGACAGACGCCATTAAATTCTCGAAATAAACGCACTAAAAAGAAATCATTAAGCCCTGCTTGTAGTCCATCCACACCACCCCGCTTTGGTTTTTGTGAGAAATAATTAAAAGACTTAAATGAAAGCAATGGGTCGCTCACTTGTCGCAGTGATGATCGGGCAGTGACTCATCATCACCGCACCTTTCACAGTATAAATCAACGTCGCAGCGACCAAAGACGAGCAGGCAACGCCCCGAGGGGGAAGAGGGGGAAGAGGGGGAAGAGGGGCTCTGCGCTAATGTTTCTTCTTTTACCGACCGAACATGGGAATGGTGACGCTGAGAAAAATGTCCCACACCACACAAGAAAAGTGTCGGAGGGGAATTGCCTCTAATGAGGCAGAGGCTGTTGTGAAATGACTCCAATGTGTTTGTTTTGGAGTCAAATACACCAGGGTGACAAAATAAGCAACTCTGCCTTTCAAATCAAGCCTGTAAAACGTCTTTTCTATGAATCAGGAGTCCTGTAGATTGTATTAAAAATTCTAACCAACATGAAACACAGGAAACATTTTATTGCTATAATTAATGCACAATTAAAGCATTAAAAATAAACATTTCAAACAAATTCAATGCAAAAATATCTGGATTAAAAGAACAATAATCACGTTAAAGCAGCTGTTTAGGTTTTTCTATTAGACTACATGTCCATCAGCATAAAAGTGAAACTAAAATGGACAATGAAGAGTTTGTTTAGTTTAAACAAAGCTTTTACAAAGACTAACTTAACTTGTTTAAATAGATAAGATCTCTTCAGGAATGTGAACAGAAATACTTCCAACAGTATCTAAAAGCAACACACCTGCCACAGCAGATCAGCAGCTGCAATAGCGGAAATAAGCCTTTTTATAACATGCAATTAAATAAAATTCAAAGATGATTAGCATGTTTTTATATTCTGATCCTATCAGTCTCTTAATCATGTTTCTTTTAAGCATTCAAATAAATAAAAACATTAAACAGATCTGATGTAACAAAGAAACTTTGGTACATTGATGTGAAATTCCACATGTGGGTATTTAGTTTCAATTATGTGATCATTCTTTATATACCCACGTTTAAACTATTTATATGTGTGCTACCCCCATTTTTATCATAACTGATCTGAACAATAATTTTTAGAAGATTTTTGATGAAGTTATTAACACTCTAGCTATAACGGATGATTGTTGAATGCTTGAACACTGATTTGATGAAATTAACACAGAGATTAAATTATTTGTAAAAGAGTAATGTGAATAAAATGAAAAATTTCATTCTTAAAATTCAATTGTGATCATTTCTTAATTTTTTGGTTAACGAATCTATTGAATTTCTTTGTTGTATAGATTCTATGAACATATAAAACGTACTACTATTGAATAAAATAAGAGAGCTCACGGAGGAAGGTGGAAATCAAAGGAGGAAAGACAAATTGAACTTATTAATCATAAAAATGGTTACTTTAAAAATATGTCCTCACATGTACAGTCGTAACAGAGGTGGTCACATTGTAAGAAAAAGAAACAGTGTAACATGAACGTGGTTTATTTGCAACAGACAATCAGCAGGTGACAACAGCCCTGACACAACCATCCAGCAACCTGGGGATTCGTCTGCTAACTAAACCTCTCAGGCCACTTCCTGCCAGGGGAAGACGACACAGGACACGGAGGAACATGGAGACATCTCTGAGAGCAACACCCAACAGCAGCAGCATGCTGTCATCACTTTGGGCAACTTTACGACATGAAACTCCATAAACAACCAAACAGTTCTAGTTGCAGCTTGAGAAGCACTGTGCGCTGGCTACTTATGAATCATGGTTTAATTCACATTAAAACATCCCTCAGACATGTATACAATTTGTTTATCACGCTCACATTTCCCCATTTTTGCTGTATTTTTCTGTGGTTGAATAACTGCAGATGTGTGCGTCAGACAACAACAATGAAAAGAAAACTTATTCATCCATGTTAAAAAAACACCAGACTTCATGCAAAACTTGACAAAAAACTCCAACTGTACAGTGTGAAACATCACAAACAGCATGTCGCTAAAATATA